ACTGAAAATGAAAATTAAGAAATTATTAGGGAATAAAATTAAAAATTCAAATCCAATTGGTAATATCCAAAAACTTGTCACACGTTTTATACAATGTAAATTATACCGTAAGTGCACAGTGTCAAGTTTTGTAATATATGAATGGAGTTGGAGTGTCGAACCCGCATGGATTGATATTTAATTCCTAGTAAGTACTATAATTATTTTAGCTTTTACTTTTATCTAGAAATTCAAGTTAAAAATCAATGTTTTCATACTAATCTAATGTGGATATGGTGACAGTTTCAAGTAAAACAAGGCAAATTATATGAGATTTATTTGTGTGAGGAAGCCTACATAATGATTTTACCACTCTATCAACCATGTTTGCAACTATTATAGTTACTTCTATCAACGTTTTCTAAGTTCAAACGAAAGAACCCTAGATTAATTAGATTCATTTTCTTGAGTGCCAAATAGAGCCTATCTCTATATTATAATTCCAATATCTCTATTGCGAGTTAAAAATCTAGAAATTATCAAGAACGTGGTTTTTATATTGAATAAGCCTCAAAGATTTCATATTTTCTCTCGAAACCTACAAAATCTAAGTTATGTTAATCTTAAATTGTGCCTAAATCTCCCTCTCTCAAGTTCTGAGATTTAAAGCATCAAATTATTCAACTCTTGATAAGGTGATTGAAAGTAATGTGCAAGAATCAACACAAATAAACTCATAGAAAAATAAAAGAAATAACTAGCTAATGTAAGGGTTGCCTCTACTTAATTCAACCTTATCATAGGCTTTTTCTTCAATAAGAGGCTCGTCCTCAATGTAAGTGCCACACCTCTACTTAATGCAACATTATCATAGGCTTCATCATCGACAATAATCTCGCCTCAATGAAAGGGCTCCACAAAAACGAATTCCAGCCTTATCACAAGCTTACTATACATAAAAACGCTTGTCCTTATGTAAGGGCCTCACTTTGAAATAGGTTCACAATTTGCCGCGAAAAATTACTCATATTATACATTCTAAGTCCATGCATTTTATAAATAACAATACTTTGACTTAGGGACTATTGTGCTACGTTATCCTTTCGCAATTGAGAGGTTAGAAAAGCACAAGTTCAAACAACATAAAATAGCCTATGCCAGTGCACTAGCTCTTTTGAAACAGAACACATGGCATACAATAAAACATCACATCTCAACCTAAAAGTCCATGCATTAAATGGATATCTTTACCTGGACTTGAAGAACTATTATTATGCCTCTTCCAGCGAGGCTCAAAGTATGGCAATGAGAAAGCCACACAATAAATGAATCTATGCTCGTACTCCACATCATTCTGTCCAAATGGCAATTTTGGTTGAACCCCTATGGGAGATTGAACCTATATGATGGTTGAGCATTCGTAGATGAGGCGAGGCACGTAAAAGCGCTATAAGAGATCTTCCTTTTATGGTTGAAGTGACAATGCACTGCAACAACCACTTTACCAAGTCAATATATCCAGTGTAGCCCCTATGTGTCAGGACTAAGGCTACAAAAGGTCATAAAATTAAATGCATCTGGGGACTAACTGATTGATGCCTATAATAGGGTACCTGGTCACATGCCTCTTCATTCAACAATTCTTACTTATTCACTTCTACTATGAAAGCTAATACATTATGTCATTCAAAGGTAATGCAAGTTCATACTTTCAACATACAACTTTTGCAATCTCTATTTCTTCGTATTATAATCTTCAATTTTCCTATAATTGATCACAAAACTCATCTAGGTCACTTCACAATATTTGACAACAGTGAAAGACCTTCTCCTGCGTCACTCCATCATTGTAACTTCATCTTGGTGTTCACAGCTATATACATGTTTAATTCAATTACCCCAACAGCTCCACCTTCAAATATTGAACTTACCATAATCGTCAGCTTAATCCTAGAGTTTGAACTATAAACTCTAATACCACTTGCTCAATTAAAAAAAATAAAAAATAAAATGAAATCCCCACCGACCATAGCAAAAATGGAAAAACAAAACAAGCCAAAAATAGAGATACAAATTTAACATAGACTAGCAACTTCCGATAACATCACAAAATGATACTTTATCAACTCAAAAAATTTACACAATACAATATTGATAAGTGTATTTTATACACTTATTTCATACTTAAAATAATGATATTTAAGGGTTCTTTTGACAAATTATATCCTAAATTCTTGTATTTTACGTTTGATAGGTAAATTTTATGAACAAAAAGAAATAGAACGAAAGAGGCAGAAATGGGCGAAAAGTGGCAAAATTCAAGTACAAGGACTACATTGCATTAACTTAAAAGATTGGATGGCTTGAAGGGCAATATAACATTAATTGCTTTGAATTGGAGTCCTTTAGAGTCAAATATTGCAGCTGTGAAAGAAAGAAAGAAAACGTAGGAGACAAGAACTGGAGGCCTACTAGGTTTGGGACACACACACACACACACAAGGAGAGAAAGAGAGGGGGGAATTGAATTGTGAAAGAAAAAGAGAGGGCCGGCAGAGGAGAGAAGATGAGAATTAATTGAGGCAGCCAATTTTCTACCTACTTACACACACTTTGGTGCTGAAATTAATATATATATACACAGAAATAGGGAGAGAGGGACACACGCAGGAGAGACAATTAATTGGGGGGTTGTCTGCTAATATCAAATACATATATACACGCAAGGGACTGCTGGCTGCTGCAATTGATACATATTAATATAAGGGAACCAAAGCAGATTGGAGCAAAGGGAAATTCGGCGATTGCTGTTGCGTTGAAAGATCAAGACACAAGAAAATTGAAGCAGGGCACACATACGGCAAAAAGCAGTTCGAAAATTATTAATGTTCCGTCAATTCCCGGTGATGTCTTCCATAATTTCTCATTTTTCTTTCATTAATATGCCTAGTTAAATTCAGTTTAGGGCGAACAACGTAACTTATTTGGAACCCTTTATTTCGTTGAATTAAGATTCTAGTGCTTTTATATTTTATGTGTTGATTTTAATGTTGTTCTTAATGTAATTAATTACTTAATCACTAATTAGATGATTTGTGAGCAATGATTGCATAGAGATACGGATTATTTGTTTAGACCACATGCTAAAATCCGGTAAATTGATATAACATGTAGAGATACCTATATTGATTGCTGCGGTTGTGTGTGAATTCTTAGAACCAATGTTGCATTTAATTAAATTTAATTTGCATAGAGATATGAAATTGAACTAATTAAATAGGCTCAACGAGAACTCGGGAGGGGTAAGTTGAATAGCATAGAAGAATTTGACCGAACACTACTTTAGGTTGTATAAATCTTGATTTACGAAGTAAAGGTGACCATTAGGTGAAATTGTTCCGCCCCAACGTCCTTTATTATTTGAATTCTCAATCATTTTCTGTTACATCCATTCGCATTTTCTTTTAAGTAGTTAGATTTAAAAATCACATTCATTCACTGTTTAGTTTATTTTTGTCAAATAAAAGTTAGGAATAGTAAATTGAGTATTAAAGTATAGTCCTCTTGGGAACGATAATCCGGATTCAAAAGGTTCACTTTACTACTTGTTACGATCCATACACTTGCGGGATAAAATCGACAACAAGTTTTTGCTTGTCGATTTTATCCCGCAAGTGTACGGATCGACAACAAGTTTTCGGCGCCGTTGCCGGGGACTATTACTTTTAGTCTTAATTTTTTTTTCTATTTTAAATTTTAAAATTTTATTATATTTATTTATTTTCTTTTATTTACAAAAAAAAAGAGTGTTTGTTGTATGCTCCGTGCCCAAGGCGATGATTTTGAACCGTTTGATTCAGAAATAGAACGTACCTTCAAACGAAGATGCAGGGACCACAAACAAAAACAGCAGCATCAAATGGCTGACAATTTAAATAACCCTATCCCTATACAGCCAATTGGACAAATGGCCGCGAGAAATCAACAGCAAGAGCAAAGAGAAGTAAATGAAGGGGACTTGCCAGTTTCTATGTTTTTGACGCCTATGGCAGCACCCGCGCTGTCCAGCATAGTATATCCAGAATTTGGGGTAAACAACTTTCAGATATGGGCTGATTGGATTAATTTGATGAGCAACACTCTGCAATTCTACGGGTTACCTCATGAGAATCCAAACACGCATATCTCAAGGTCTCTCAGGAATTGCCAGAATTATCATGCTCCCGGGCTTAATGAGGAGCCATCAAGCTGCGATTTTCCCATAGACACTAAGAGATGCAGCATTGAAATGGCTGGATGTCGAATCGGATAGAAGCATTACCACATGGGAGGAACTGACCAGGAAATTCTGCAATAAGTTCTTTCCACCAGCTAAGGTAGCAAAAATCAGACTGGAAATTCAAAATTTTCAACAGAGAGATGGAGAGAGCTATCATGAAGCATGGAACAGATTTAAGGAGTTGATGAGAAAGTGTCCAAATCATGGGATCACTATCGGAAATCAAGTGCAGTATTTCTACATGGGACTTTTACCATTATCCAAATCTCAAGTGGATTCCTCTGCAGGCGGATCGATCATAGGGAAATCAGTACAACAATGTATGGATCTATTTGAGTTGATTGCTACTACTCATTCCATGTTTTCATCCGAAAGAGTGGTGCCTCCAAAAGCAACGGGAATATACGAAGTAGACAGCTCAGCATCGACCAACGCCCAAATAGCAGCATTGACAAAACAAGTGGAGTTATTGGTGAAGTCACAAATAAAAAGAGCACATACAGTGATAGCCGGTCCATCATGTGAGAACTACGGAGCTAATCATCTAATAGAAAATTGCACATCTTTAGGCTTTCCAGAGGAACAAATCAACTTCGTTCAAAATGGCTCTCGAAATTTTAATCCCTTTTCACAGACGTTTAACCCAGGATGGAGACAACACCCAAACTTCAGATGGTCGGATAATCAGCAAGGAAGCAGTTCAAATAATAACCAGCCAGAGAAAAAATAAAGTTTGGGGGAGATGTTCAACCAGTACATGCAGAAGACAGACAAGGTGTTCCAACAGATTGACACTAACTTTCAAAATCAGCAAGCATCTATTAAGAAGCTGAAAACTCAAATTGGTCAAATAGCTCAACAGCTTGCAGAACGCCCACAAGGGACATTGCTAAGAAACACAATGGTCAATCCAAAAGAGCAAGTGCAAGTTATTACAACTAGAAGTGGAGTGCAACTTTCAGAGATACATGTAAAGAGACCAGACAGAAAAGACAAAGAAGTAATGGATAAAGAGGCTGGGACAGAAATAGAGTTTGAACAACCAACTAACGAGGAGGATAAAAGGAAAGAAACACCCACAGTGAGAGCACCCAGCCCCGTGAAAGCTTATGTACCACCAATTCCCTTCCCTCAGAGGCTACAGAGAAAGAAATTGGACAAGCAGTTTGCCAAATTTGTGGAGATTTTCAAGAAACTAAACATCAATATTCCATTTGCAGATGCAATTACCCAAATGCCCAGCTATGCTAAATTCTTGAAGGAGATCATGTCTAACAAAAGAAAGCTAGAAGAACATGAGACAGTCTGCCTGAACAAGGAGTGCAGTGCAATTCTATTGAAAAAGTGACCTCCTAAACTAAAAGACCTAAGGAGTTTCATGATACCTTGCACAATTGGGTCTAATTATTTTGAACATTCTTTATGTGATTTAGGTGCTAGTGTTAATTTGATGCCCCTCCCCGTTTACAGGTCCCTTGGATTAGGAGAAGCAAAACCTATGACCATCTCTTTGCAATTAGCTGACAGATCGATCAAACGACTGAAGGGGATTATTGAAGATGTGCTAGTCAAAGTTGATAAATTTATTTTTCCGCCTGATTTCATCATTTTGGACATGGATGAAGATTCAAACATCCCTCTAATCTTAGGAAGACCCTTCTTGGCTATCAGAAGAGTGCTGATTGATGTTTATGATGGAAAGATGATTCTTCGGGTGGACAATGAGCAAGTCATATTCAACATGTTTAAGGCGATGAAACATCCACTGACTTCAGACACCTGTTGCCAAGTAGATGTTCTTGAAGAGTTGGTGGCAGATACATTTGAGACAGAGCATCAAACAGTTCTTTGTGAAGCAGAAATTACACAATCTGGAACAGCAAGTGCAGAAAAAACTGAATGTATTGTCAACTTAGCTAAGCAACCAATAGGAAGAAGACATTGGCAGTGTGAATCTCTTGGTGACAATCCTTCACCCCCAGTATCTTCAGTAGAAAAGGCACCCACTCTTGAACTTAAGCCCTTGCCTTCACATCTCCATTATGCATATTTGGGAGAATCTACAACACTTCTAGTAATTATTGCAAATGACATGACAATGGAAGAGGAGAATAAATTGTTAGAGGTATTCAAGCAGCACAAAACGGCAATTGGATGGACAATAGCTGACATCAGAGGAATAAGTCCAACTCTTTGTATGTACAAGATTTTAATGGAGGACAGGTCAAAGCCATCAGTGGAAGGACAACGCAGATTAAATCCAACCTTGAAAGAAGTAGTGCAAAAAGAAGTGCTGAAATTGTTGGATGCAGGTATTATCTATCCAATCTCTGATAGTTCATGGGTGAGTCTACTGCATGTTGTGCCAAAATAGGGTGGAATCACAGTGGAGAAGAACGAGAACAACGAGCTGATACCAACACGGTTAGTAACAAGGTGGAGAGTATGTATAGATTACAGAAAGCTAAACAATGCAGCCAGAAAGGATCATTTTCCATTGCCATTCATTGATCAAATGTTGGAGAGGTTGGCCGGTCATTCTCATTACTGCTTTCTGGATGGATATTTTGGGTACAATCAAATAGTTATTGCTCCAGAAGACCAGGAGAAAACAACCTTCACATGTCCCTATGGAACTTTTGCGTTTAGAAGGATGCTTTTTGGTTTATGTAATGAACCCGCAACCTTTCAAAGGTGCATGATGGCCATATTTTCTGACATGGTGGAAAGATACATCGAGGTATTCATGGATGATTTTTTTGTGTTTGGAGATTCATTTGATTATTGCTCGGATCGGTTGGCTCTTGTATTGCAAAGATGTGAAGAGAAGAACCTACTGCTAAATTGCGAAAAGTGCCATTTCATGGTAAAAGAGGGGATAGTGCTGGGCCACAGGATTTCCTCAAAGGGCATTGAAGTTGACAAAGCCAAAATACAAGTGATTGAAAACTTGCAGCCTCCTAATTCAATTAAGGGGATCAGGAGCTTCTTAGGACATACAGGATTTTACTGAAGGTTCATTCAAGATTTCTCAAAAAGTACAAAACCTCTGTGTAATCTATTGGAGAAGGATGTGCCATTTCACTTTTCTAATGAGTGCTTAAATGCCTTTAACACTTTGAAAGAAAAGTTAACTTCGGCACCTATAATTGTAGCACCTGATTGGGATCTACCTTTCGAACTTATGTGTGATGTAGTGATTTTGCAATGGGAGCGGTGCTTGGCCAACGTAAAGGCAAAGTGTTACATGTAATCTACTATGCCAGCAAAACCTTGACGGATGCTCAGATCAACTACTCAACAATGGAAAAAGAGATGCTAGCAGTGGTCAAATTTCGTTCCTATCTGATTGGTTCAAAAGTGATAGTCTACACTGACCATGCAGCCTTGAAATATTTGTTTGAGAAGAAGGATGCTAAACCTAGGCTGATTCGATGGGTTTTGTTACTGCAAGAGTTTGACATTGAAATTCGCGATAAAAAGGGTATAGAAAATTAGATAGCGGATCATTTATCAAGGCTAGAGCAACTTCGTGATTCAGATGACATGGATATTAATGAGGTTTTCCCAGATGAACAGTTATTACAAATAGAAAATGCTCCATGGTATGTAGACATTGTTAATTACCTAGCTAGTGGCTATATGGATCCTGATCTCACCTATCAGCAAAAAAAGAAGCTGCTTCATGAAGCGAAATTCTATTATTGGGATGATCCAAATTTATATAGGAGAGGGGCAGACCAGATCATTAGGAGATGTGTGCCAGAGGATGAGATGAAACCGATCCTTTCACGGGTTCATGCTTCGGCGTATGGAGGACACTTTGGCCCCACTAAAACAGCAACAAAGGTGCTTCAATGTGGTTTCTTTTGGCCTACACTGTTCAAGGACTGCCATAGCTTCTGCAGGTCATGCGATAAGTGTCAGAGAACAGGTAACATATTAGCGCGTCACGAGATGCCACTAAACAACATTTTGGAAATGGAAATATTTGATGTTTGGGGAGTTGATTTTATGGGTCCTTTTCCATCATCTTATAACAATCGGTACATCCTAGTGATAGTGGATTATATCTCTAAATGGGTAGAAGCTAAAGCATTGCCTACAAATGACGCAAGTGTGGTGGTGGACTTCATAAAGAAACACATCTTTAACCATTATGGATAACCTAGGGCCATAATAAGTGATGGTGGAACTCACTTTCACAATCGCTTATTCCAGGTAGTGTTGCATAAGTACGGGGTACAACATCGAATTGCCACTCCTTACCACCCTCAGCCAAGTGGACAGGTGGAGATCTCGAACAGACAATTGAAAATAATTTTGTAGCTCACTGCGAATGCATCTTGCAAGGATTGGTCAAAGAAATTAGACGACGCTTTATGGGCATATCGCACTGCTTACAAAACACCTATTGGAATGTCCCCATATCGACTAGTATTTGGAAAAGCATGCCACCTACCAGTGGAGTTTGAACGTAGAGCATATTGGGCATTGAAGCAGTTAAACATGGACCTCGAAAAGGCTGGAGAAACAAGAATACTGCAGCTACATTAATTGGAAGAATTCAGAAGAGAAGCATATGAGAATGCAGCCATTTACAAGGAAAGGAAGAAGCAATGGCATGACAAGAACATCAGACAAAGAATTTTTGGAGTGGGAGATCAAGTGCTTTTATACAATTCCAGACTTAAACTACTCCCAGGAAAATTGAAATCTAGATGGTCTGGCCCTTTCACGGTCTCTCAAGTGTTTCCCTACGGCACATTTGAATTACACCATCCAACAAAAGGAAACTTCAAAAGTAAATGGCCAACGTATCAAGCACTACGTGAAAGATTTTTTCACCACTAAAGAGAGCCTTGACCTAACTGTACCAGAATAAGAGCAGCACAAAGTCCAGCTAACGACTTAAAAGAAGCGCTTATTGGGAGGCAACCCAATTTTCAAACTTTTTATTTTGCTTAACGTATCGCATAGCATACAGTTTTGTTTTGTTTACTAGATTGCATTAGATTTAGGCACGTTTCAATTTCTAGGAGTCATCACCCATATCTTTTATACCCTCAGGCCCTTGAATTTATTGTTGGTTATTTTGATTGTTTGAGCTAAGTAACCCTTGTTCCCTGTATTTCATTAGTCAAATTTGATTTTTCAGGAATATGACGTCGTGGAACACTCAAACCAATATAGATCCAAGAGAAAGTATGATGAAGAATATTATCCAGCCGTCACACATAGTGCCTCACACATTCAACAGAAAAATTTAGGGAGTACCTTCCTTTTTTTTCTTCCCTACCCCCTTTATGTGTTTATTTATGCTTTATGACATTGAGGACAGTGTCAGCTTTAAGTTTGGGGGTGATATGTTTTTGTGTGTTTGTTTGAAAAAAAAATTTTTAATTAAAAAAATAAAAAAATAAAATAATAATAATCTCTTTTGTTCAGATGTGTGCTTGTGTGGGTTAGATAATCTGGCAGACAATGATTATTTAATTTGAGATTTAGTGTTGATTTATGAACTGTGGATAGGATGCATGCTAGACTAATTGAAGCTCAACCTTGCAAAATTTGATATTACAAGCGCACTAGAATTAAGTTTGATATTATGATTAAATAAGTTGTTTCCTGCTTTTGATAGGTTGATTTAGTTGGGCATAGTAAACCATAATAAATTATCTATCCTTAGACAAAATTTAGCACAGTTTGGGGTGACTTTATAGTTGTAGGAAGATGCGGATGTGAATGTGGATTCCATGTGTGAAAAATTTATGCGTGGATTATTTTAGACTAACATGATAAAACTCTGCGAAAGTCTTAAGTTAGAAGTCGGTTTGTTTGAATAAGTGTGTGATAAGGGGCATTGCACTAATTAAGGGATATACGTTTGAAAATTTTGAACTTCTCTCTGAAGCCTTTATGACTCGAGTGATTAAGTATGTAAGGGTATCTTAAAACCTGATACCCTAAAGTCGTCTGACTTGGGAGCTATCGGCCTAAAGCTCATTACATAGGTCATTTAGAAATAAATTAGAGACGAAGCTGCACTTAAAAAAAAATTTGTTCTCTTCGAAACCTTTTTGACTCGGGTCAGTAAGCCTGTAAGGGTATTTAAAAATTTGGTGCCCTAAAATCATCTCGTTTGGGAGTCATCGACCTAAAGCCTGCTACATGGGTCATCTAGAAAACTTAATGGAGAGAATATATATATATATATATACACACTTGTGAAAAATAGAAAAAAAAAGCAAGTGCATGAAAAGAGCAAAAGCACTAAATACATTGATTAAGCCCTAACACTTATTTGAGGGAATTTGACTTTTCATGCAAGATAATTAGTTAGTTGAG